GCTTCAGCCCTCTCTTCAGCCCGCCACCTCTCCTCCCGGTCATTTTGTGCTTTTCTGCACTCTGACATTATTTGCCTCCACACATTCATCTGTGCTCTGTCAGTGTGGGAGGACAGCATGAGCTCGGAGAACATTTCATCGCGAGTGCGTTTTTTTTCTAATCTTCACTAGCCTCTGGGAAGGAGAAGATCCTGTGATCATTGAAACACATGCAGCTGGTGGAGAAATAAAAAGGGACAGCGGTATTTAAAGAGACACATTTCATAAAACAGTGGCTACACTCTTTCAGAGTAAACCTTGCTGTTAACATTACATACATAGCACACGTGCTTTCGTTACAAGGTCGCATTTTGCCTCCCCCCACCGCGTGGCTACCCCCTCAACCTTCCCCCCTCCCCGTGGCTAACAGCGGGGAACATTTCTGTTCAGCCACAGGCAAACAGCCCAGCAGGAACGGGCTCCTCTGAGTGTCCCCTGAAGAAAAGCACCCTATTTCAACCAGGTGACCATGAATGATATCTCACTCTCCTGAGGATAACACAGAGAGAGAAAGAACGGATGTTGTTTGAACGCCAGCAAACATACACTGCAATGCTTTGTTGTACAATGATTCCCGAGTACGTGTTACTGGCCTGGAGTGGTGAAGTGTCCTACCATGAAGGACGCAATAAGGCTGCCCTCCCCAGAAACCTTTTGCAAAAGCTTTGGGAGTACATCCAGGAGAGCCGCGAATGCCAGGGCAAAGTAATCATTTCACACGCTTGCTTTTAAACCATGTACAGTATTTTAAAAGGTACACTCACCGGAGGTCCCTTCTCCGCCTGCTGGGTCCAGGAGGCAGCCTTGGGTGGGTTCGGGGGGTACTGCTCCAGGTCCAGGGTGAGAAACAGTTCCTGGCTGTCGGGAAAACCGGTTTCTCCTCTTGCTTGCTGTGAGCTGTCTACAACCTCATCATCATCTTCTTCGTCCCCAAAACCTGCTTCCGTGTTGCCTCCATCTCCATTGAAGGAGTCAAACAACACGGCTCGGGTAGTGGTGGCTGAACCCCGTAAAATGGCATGCAGCTCATCATAGAAGCGGCATGTTTGGGGCTCTGACCCGGAGCGGCTGTTCGCCTCTCTGGTTTTCTGGTAGGCTTGCCTCAACTCCTTCAGTTTCACGCGACACTGCTTCGGGTCCCTGTTATGGCCTCTGTCCTTCATGCCCTGGGAGATTTTGACAAAGGTTTTGGCATTTCGAAAACTGGAACGGATTTCTGATAGCACGGATTCCTCTCGCCATACAGCGATCAGATCCCGTACCTCCCGTTCAGTCCATGCTGGAGCTCTTTTGCGATTCTGGGACTCCATCATGGTCACCTCTGCTGATGAGCTCTGCATGGTCACCTGCAGCTTGCCACACTGGCCAAACAGGAAATGAGATTCAAAAGTTCACGGTTCTTTTCCTGTCTATCTGGCCAGTGCATCTGAGTTGAGAGCGCTGTCCAGAGCGGTCACAATGGAGCACTCTGGCATAGCTCCCGGAGGCCAATACCGTCAAATTGTGTCCACAGTACCCCAAATTCGACCCGGCAAGGCCGATTTAAGCGCTAATCCACTTGTCAGGGGTGGAGTAAGGAAATCGATTTTAAGAGCCCTTTAAGTCGAAATAAAGGGCTTCATTGTGTGGACAGGTGCAGGTTTACATCGATTTAACGCTGCTAAATTCGACCTAAAGTCCTATTGTAGACCAGGGCTAAGAGTTGAGATTTCAAACAAAGCTGCAAAGAGAGGTATGTGGATGAAGTTTTGTAAATCTGATAACTTTCAAACCATTGTTAGCTTCAAAAAAGTCTGTCTCCTATTTCCTTCTCAACCTCTCCCCAAGTGTATAGATTTTTGATATATAAACCAACACCTCCTCCCTTTTTTCCCCTGCTTGTCCTCCCTGAGCAAGCTGTCCCCTTCTATACCAATATTCCAGCCATGTATCCCACCCAAGTAACTTGCAGCCAGGCATTCATCTCCAGGATGTATCTGTCTCTGCCTGGGCCCCTACACTTGACCAGAAGGATTGAAGAGAACACCACCTGCGCCCCCAGCTCCTTCACCCTTACTCCCAGAGCCCTGTAGTCACCTGATTTGCTCAGAGTCATACCTCACAGTATCAGTAGTGCCCACATGGATGAGTAGCATGACATAGTAGTCAGAGGGCTGGATGATCCTTGACAATTCCTGTATAATGTCTTGGATATGGGCTCCTGGCAGGCAGCACACCCCCTGGGAGGAGAGAACACTTATGAACAGCAGTCTCAAACCAATTTTGGAGCTAGAAATAGTGTCCAGACTTCCGTTTTGTGGTTCTCTTAAAGACTACTGGAGTACTAGCAGGCCTCTGTTGGGTTTGTGGTATCGCTGAGACATTGCAAATGTAGCTGATGGACCAAGTTGTGTGTCAGAATATTTTTCAGTATTGGCAGCAAACTTCTTGAAAGGTTTCAGAGTAACAGCCGTGTTAGTCTGTATTCGCAAAAAGAAAAGGAGTACTTGTGGCACCTTAGAGACTAACCAATTTATTTGAGCATGAGCTTTCGTGAGCTAGCTCACGAAAGCTCATGCTCAAATTGGTTAGTCTCTAAGGTGCCACAAGTACTCCTTTTCTTTTTGCAAACTTCTTGAAGACACTTGATGACCAGGACAAGTAGGTGAATGATTGGCAGACAGATGGGATGGTCTTAAATAGCAGGCTGCAAATTTTTTAATTATATTTCAGGGAGGGCTGCTACGCTTCCTGACCCCTGCTCTCTGATACCAGGCATTAATTGGTTCCCATGTGGGTTACACAGCTGTGATCAGAAAGCAAACTGTTTTTCTGGGTAGACAAGGAAGGGTCTACCCATTGACTAAGCTCTGAAATCTTTCTGCCCTCCTCCCACCACTTCCCCATGTAAGGTGGAGGTGAAGTACCGAGGCCACGAGGTTGGGTGGGGGCAGGATCTCAGGTCTGAGACTTCAGGTTCCACCTTCCGCCCCACTGGGCATGAAGTCCAGCTGTGCAATCCTGGGTCTCATTTACCTCTGTGAGATGGCACTTTTAGACTTTACCCTCACTAGCCACGGGGAACACCAGTGTTTAGCATGAACTCATCTCACACTCACTAAGCCCTGGTACCCATCTCCTGCCTGACCCAGTTCCTGGTCAAGGGACCAAATGTCTGCCACAGCTTATGACAGATGTACTCTGTCATCTCTAAGAAGCTCAGGACCATTGTTATGGAGATCCCTGGGTTATCACTGCCCTCCCTCTGAGCTTCCAAAATCCTGGCCATGATTCACATTTTTTAGTGCTTGCCCCTCTTCAGGCTTACTCAATGCCCCAACAAACTCATCTTGCAAACATCTGACTAAACCAATGGCGTGTGAAGGTATGACTGCATAATCCACTCTACATCTCTGTATGTCCTAATTCTTAAACATAAGAATGGGCAAAGGGAGGATACTGGAAAAAGTAGTCCTATCGAGAAGATTGTCAGGAGGTTCTTGGAATAGAAAGATGGTGAGCCCCACCAAGTTCCTTGACTTTCGGCTGACTTTGGCTTTTCTTCAACATAACATTATAATTTTGGAACAGCCTCCAAAATAATCTCTGAAACCCATTCTATACCATGAAGCATTCCATCTTTTATGCTCATATGTCACTGATTTTAGATCTGTATTGTTTATGCAGTCTTTTGAACCCATAATATATCTTTTAGAAACCACATATCTTGTTTGTTTAGCACAGCCTATTTATTCTACAGCCAATTCTTTATATGCTAATCACACTGCAAAAATATGATTCTTGCTAATTGGGAAACTCACTAACTTCATAGTAGTTTTTAACTAGGGTGACCATATGTCCCATTTTTTATAGGGACAGTCCCCTTTTTTGGGACTTTTTGTTATATAGGCACCTATTACCCCCCACCCCCGTCCCATTTTTTCAGTTTCTATCTGGTAACCCTATTTTTAACCACTCGAGCAATTGACAGCTACCCTTGTACTATTGCACTCCTTGGCCCTTGCTCCAAAATTCAGATCTTTCATCATGTATAATACAAACTCACTTAAGGTGTCCTTGTGCTATCTGAATGTATGACAGAATCATTAGTACTAATGTGCTAACCTCTCTGGCATTTTTAATTGAAGTGTCTGCTGAGTTCAGTTCTGCAAAATAAAGGCAACATTTGAACAGAATATTTTGAGAGCAATCAGGCACTAGGTTAAGTAACTTTTAAACTATGAGTATTCAGATATCCTACATCTCTCATTGAAAGGACATTATCAAATTATGTAGGTTGTCAAACGTTTTAGAAGAGCAGACGTGACGAATCCATTGGAAATTTTTCCCTGTTAAAGCAACTTTGTTCCATGAAAGCTTTTACATAATATTGATATGTAAAAATACATTGGGCCAAGAGCATCTGGGGAAGGACTAACATTAGAAATGTGAAAGATTATATGCTTTTTTTATTCCGTTTTTATAATTAATACATCTAATCAATGTAATTTTTCTTTTAAACAATCTATTAGATTGAGGGAACAAACCTTGGTCAAGGTGCAAGTCTAACAAAAACATATTTGCTCTGGGAGCACATTCTGTGCACAGGTACTGAGTCACTTGTAGGAGAAGAGTACCAAGATGTGGGGTGTGTTAGATATAACTGTGTGGGGATCAGAGCTAGTCAGCACTAAAGTCATACAGCATCTTTAAAGTTAGGAAGAAGAACTAATAGTGTTATGCTTCGAATTATTTGTTTCCCTCTTCTGCATGCTGCTGATTGGTATTAATGGAGTTTAACACCCACAAAGTAAGGTGGAGGATGGTGAACTTGAGATATTTCTTCTGCTATAATTGAAATTGTGAATACATTATATACAGCATGCATTAGCATGCCATTGTGGCCTTATGAAACTAACACTGGATTTTTTCACATATAAAACTGACGTTCAAGCTCTAACTATATGTATTTATATCCCTAGAATGCAGAAATTTCAGTTTTTGAAGTGAACATCCGTTTTGTTGGTGGACTGCTTTCAGCATATTATCTTTCCGGAGAAGAGGTAAGATTATCTATCTGCATTGTCAATCTAAAATTCCAATCATCTTCCCCCCCCCCCCCCCCAAGTTATTGTTTTGTATAAGTCTAATGAATGGGAAAAAAGTCTCAGTTGTAAAACTGTAATCAATGTATACGCTAGGTGTAATGTATACGCTAGGTGTTACATTCAAGCACAGAGTAGTGAAGTTTGCTGATGCTACTGGAGGTGGGTTTGGATCATATGCTTCTCACAGGCCAGTTTGGAGTGTATTGTCACAGACTCACACAATTTACAACTGACAGGACTAATTATTCATCCAAGTGTTAGCAAAAGTGCAGTTGGAAGATATGACTGGAGAAACTGTTGATATGATTGAAGGGGGAACGGAATGAATAACTAGCATACAGATGCCGAAGGAGACTCCTAAAAATACCACTGCTCAGGGGTCTTAGATTAGTTGGTATGAAATTCGGGTCTTAGGTGAGTTGGTATTTGGTATTCTGGCCAGCTGCAGAAAGAGAATGAAGATTGCTGTGTGGTTTTTAACTTTTGTCCTGATCCTCAGTTGTATAGATGTGGAGAAAGTAGAGCTGGAATTTGTCCTCTAATCTCAAACAGCCAATGGTGTCAATCTTTACTTGTTTCCCATAGCTAGTCTGGAGGCCTCAGGGACCACAAAAGCAGTAGCCCTCCTACCAGTAGGTTCCAGTGAAGAGCATGCTGGCAACTATTGCAGAAGTCTTGATAGCTGCTCCTAGATATTTCTTCTTGACTTCCTTCGCAATGTTATGCCTGTTTTTTCTTGAGCAAACACAAGCGAGCACGCCTCATGATTCTCTTCACAGTGGCAGTTACACAGAAGGCATTGGGTTTATAGTTAAAATTCTAAAGGTTCTATGTTTAAACTCCCCTGTTCAAGTTCTCTGAAGCAGTTTATACTCTCACATAGATATATTGCTCCACATTCAACGTTATTGTGATAGTAAATCCCAGAGGCTGAAACTAACCACCCTTTTGTTTTTAGTAAATATACATTTTAACTGAGATGTTTCATCTGACACTTGAAGGAAATCAGCCATCATTCTACAATAACTTACTGACCCAGAAATGAGTCCATCTAGAGTAATTTTAGAAACAAAAATATCGGGTTTTTTCAATTAAATAGTTATACTCCACCAATAATTTCTCTTCCAGCAAAGCTGCTGCTGCTCACAAACTAGTGAGCTTTTTGCAGTATAACCTGTTGTTAACATTTAATTAAGCAGTAGTAACAGACGTGGAGAACATTTCTTGGCAGTTAATGACCAGCTAGAAGAGTTAAGGGCTCTGAACTCAATTGGTCATTAACTGCCAAGAAATATTCGATGTGTCAGTTATTAGGTCTATTCTAAACCATCAAAATATAAACATATAAGGAGAAAATTAATGATCTTGTGCGATTATACATACACACACACACTACTTATCATGGATACAGTATTCTGTTCTAGTACTTACATTCCTCTAGAAATTACTTACCAGTATACTAACTGGTAAGAAAAGAGGCCTGTGTGTTCAACATGCCTTTAAGTCTATAGCTGTGAATAAGTTATTTTATGTAAGATCTTTGTAGGACAAAATAGTTTTATTGGCTGAAGAAAGGAGGGTAGGTCGTCATGGTGCTACATGTGAGCCTTTGGGTGAAAATCTTACAAGTCCAAAAATTGACGCATAGCTACGTCTTTTTAGTTGATACCTGACCAACATCTCATGGGCCATTCAGTCCAATTTCAAGTGGAATAGGAATTTGTGCATTCTTTCAAACTTTTTTCCATCTACTACAAATCAAATCTAGTGACAGTGCATCCTCCACAGGGAGGAAGGAGAGCAGCTGGATTTGACATCCTCCACCTTCAAAGATCTCTGCTGTGTTTGATAAGTACATACCACCTCACAGATGTCTCGATTATTTCAAGATATCAGTGCTTGTTATAGTACCTCTCAAATACTGGGCAGAGTGTTCAGCACCTTTTTTATTCTGGTTCCTTCACTCCTCCCCCCCCCCCCCCCCGAAAGCCTTGTGTATATTGTTACCGTACCACCACCTAATGGATAATATAGTATCATCTTATCCTTTTATTATTTTTGTCAGACAATTCTGAATTGACAAGTGTGAGATCATGAATTCCCTAAGCAGTTGTCTAGTTTAAAGAAAACAGTTTGTTGGCACACCCCCCAAAAAAACTTTTGGCTTATTTTCCATTCTCACTTAGAAATATTTTGATTTTGCATTAATAGATAATTTTCCACTTCAAATTCAGCTACTTGAGTTCTCTGAACTGCTATCTAGAATTATGTCATGGGGTTGCTGCATATCTCTAAGATGTAGACTGGAAAGAGCTTATGTTCATCTGAAAGTCTTTGGGATGTTGGTCCTTTTTTCCTGTATTAGAAATGAACATTTTTGGACTCCATGGGGTCTCATTATTCATTTCAGAAAATCGGCCGGATATGGTTGTCCCTGCAGTTGTCAGGTAGCTACTTTCTGGGTCCCATGCTGTGGCTGCTTGAGCATAATCTATACATGGCCACTGGTGAAGCTTTAGTCTGTAGTTGAAACACCTTTTTAAATCAGACATTTCAAAGTGTAGGAATTTTTTTCCTCTTGACAAAAAAAAAAAATGGCTAAAATTAATAGGAAACAATTGTTTCAGTGGTAATTCTCTTGCCCAGTTTGGTGGACTCTTTTCCAGAAGCAAATAAGTTAGTTAATTAAGCAACTGGCAAACAACAATTTATAATGTTTGAATACAGGCACTCCTCACTTTTTCTCAAGGCTAAGTATTACAACTTATTTTAAAGTACAGTGGTCATTTGCCTGTCTTGTTACTAGGTTTAACTTGTGAACTGCTTTGAAGATGTTTGGTTTTTTAGAACACACTTACATCTATTTTCTTTGAAATATATGCCCACTGATTGTTTTTCATGGCTTTAGTTATGCCCGCCCCAGCTTATGGCAAGGGAACTGCTACATATGCAGTCCCAAATTGCTCTACCAGCGTCGTCAGACCAAATTTGTAACATCCTTGATATTCAAGTTAGACTTAAACCCCTCCCCTGCTTGTATCCAGCTAGCAGTTGTCGTAGTGCTTTAAGTTCAGTATCTTGACCTATTTCTGGTAGGCCTCTTTAAAAAGATTCTTACCTTTCAGAAGCAGTGAACTACAAATTATCTAGTTTTCTAATGAAGGTAAACTCTGGAAATGATCAAAAAGCTGAACATGGCAAGCTTTAATATAATATAATATATGACATATTCTGTCTAAAAACATTTTGGAGAAAATCTTCATCTTTAAATGAGAAATTTATGGCAATTGATTACTCGAGAAGGAAAATTTTAAACATATCCTTTATTGAATATTTCTGTTTTGTGTTTTTAGTATCTTCAGCCACAGTTCAGAATAATCCTTGTAATACCTCTGACCCTTACTCATATGAGTAAGCCTTTGTAAGTATTCACACAAGAGGTTCTGATTAAAGTTTGGAAGATCAGATCCTCAGCTCTTCCACATCATAATCAGATTGCCTGTGAAAAGCGTAATGTTGATGTGCTTTGTTTTCAGTAGTGTGACTAAAGGCAGCTTTGGTTATGTAAAAAGAAGTGATTGAAACAATAATTGTTGGTACTTCGGAATTAAATGCCCATGGTTAATGATCTAAAATAGTAACATATTGCACGTCCCATAATTATTTGTAAATTTAAGTTTAATCATAATTAACTAGGAATATTGAAACACATTGAATAGATTCTAAAACATCTTGCTTGCGCTAAAATTCATTCAAATAAAATCGTGAATATAGCTCATTTTAAAAATGTGATAGACATTGAATACTTTGGTCTGATAGCCAAGTCTTTACATGGCATATTTGACACATCTTGTTGCTGTAATTACATTAAAACCTACTGAAAAAAAAAATTGCTTTTCTGGATTTAATCAGGCTACCATGAATGATATACAAGTATTAAAAGAATTAGATTTGAAACCAGGAGTTTGTTTGCATTTGGATTTAAATGTTAGTCTTAAAATAGAGAGAACACACAAGAAAGGTCAAACTTGACTAAGATGAGCTAAACTTTTCATCGGTGTTAAGAGCACTTCAGGTATTTATAGACAACATAATCTGAAAAGAAGTCTTAGATTTTAAGATCTTTTCTTTTCTTGTGTATCTGGATTACTACAGAATATTGTGTGTGTAACTGAAGACTGCTTTCTTGCTATTTATCAGATGTGCTATGGAGAAAGAGAGTTCATTTATGAGGGAGGAATTGGGGATAAAGTTGACTTAGGGGTGGGAGAGAGGAATCATCATTTTGTCTGGAAGTAATACAAATCTTTGGGAGTTTTGTTTTGCTTTCCTTCAGGGTGCCACTAATGCTGATTTTTCCTCTTTAGCTTGACCACTCTTACACTTCATTTGCAGTTAGACAATGGATTTATTATTTTATCTTCAATTGTGCTTATGGCATGGTCAGTACAGCTTATAAAAGTGGGCCAAGTTTCTCGCAAATTTTTGCTTAATTGCTAGAGGAATTAAAATGTCTAAATCTGTTAAAACCGTATGACTGACTGACTGATTCCAGTTCTCAGCTACCACTATGCTCTCTCCATTATTGTCCTGGGAAGACCGCTACTAGGGGCGGGATGGGGACAGTGTCAGAGCTGCCATGTGATGGCCACCATATGCTGCACCCATAAAAGAGATTTTACTGGAGGGGAAGCTTCCTGAGCATGCTTCACCATACCTTCTCCCTGTCCCCACTCTCTATTTTCTGCTAATGGGAACAACACAAACTCCTGTCTAGTCATATGAACAAAACTAGTTTTTAACAACTTTTTGGAGTCAAGCTCTTGATCTGCTAACAATAATCAGCGACTGAGTGGCTAACTGGAATCCCCACAAGAGCTGTTCTTCTACTGCTCTGCAGCACTGCAATCCCAGGTAAGCGTGGAAGAACTGTGGTGCTACTGTCAATAAACACG